AGAAGGCTTCCCAAGAGTCAACTTTTTAAAAAAAATTTTAATGAAGATGTAAGGAAGTAGATTCTGTTTTATATTTTTATGAAAGTTATTTTCTATTATAGAGCTTCTTCTCCCCCTTGGCCTATGTACAATCTTTTAAAGTTCATGGGGATCAATAAATAATAAACTCTTTTCTGGCATGACCACAGCCCATAGTCATCCCTGGTGATGGTTTTAGATGTTTATGCTCCATACACCACACAAAAAAACCTAAGCAGTTTAAGTCACCCCAAGTGGGTGATGTGACTCAGAACTCAAAACACTTCCCCAAGGAAAAGAAAACAACCAAATCATCAGGAAAATGGCCACTACTCATATCAAAATTGCAAAGTCTAAGGAGCCTGAGAGTAATGGTGAAGAAGATATGTAATTTAAGGAAGAAGAAATACACTAAAATTCTATAAACCATTTGGAAGACCCTTATCCCACACACAAAAAACACATTAATATGCCACAATAACTTCAACATATAAAAGTTTTTCACTGGCTATTTAAATCAGAAATCTAATTTTGTACTTTAATTCAATGTGTCACAATGTATCACAGGGATAACATAGGAGGTAGACTAGCCCTTCTTAAAAGAGAACTAATTACAGAATAAGTCATGTTTTGTTTGCTGCTTATTTCATTTTGTTTCAGTTCTTCGTCTATGTTAGGTACAATGATTTATTTAAAATCAATTTGTAACCACTTCAAAATCTTGCAATTTACTATTAAGTAGCACTGCATCATGGTTAACTACTATTACAAAGATTTGAGCAAATTTCACTAGCATTATCTAGCTATTGGATCCAATATGTTTCTCATACTTAATGGGGATAATGCCAACATCTACCTCAGAGCCTTGTCATCAAGGTTAAAGGGAGCAGCAGGAAAAGCATGCATTGTGAGGTGCTGGCATACTATAAAGGCTCAAATGATGCCTGTTATTTCCATTGCTCCATAATCAGCTTCTTTGGTTCTGGTGATTTCAACACTTACCTGATCCTCTATAAAAACCTTTAAGGAGGAGAATCTAAGCCATTAATCACACTGTTTCTAAGAAGTTCTGTCTTTAGAAGAGAAAGGATTAGGAAGAAGAGGTGAGGAGAAGAAGGGAGAGGGAAGAAAATGTGGGAGAAAAGACAGAAGGAATGACAAAGCTGAACTAGAGGGATGAAATATATGTAGCCAGTCCTTTTTCAGGTATAAGAACTTAGAAAGCAGAAAAGTGTTTGTACTTGACAAATAATGTCTGTGGTTAGTGACTGTAGACACAGAATTTAAAATTTTTAGCTATGTAAGTCAAAACATATTCAAGTCTAAGAAGACAGAGCAAAATTTGGTCATAATAATTTCAAATAGGAAAACCTACACAGAATTCCTTTTATAAAATCATCCCTTCTTCTATTTCTTTAGTCCCCCTTCAAGATATTTCATTTAAATTTTATGCATACAATTCCTCAACAACTTGAAGCAGATCCTAGCATCACTATGAATCACTGAAACATTTTGCATTTTAGCTCCCTGTTTGTTTGTTACTTTGTCATTCTCTTCAAGAATACCTGACATGGCTGATCTAATTATAGAAAATAACTCTCATTAATGTGCAATAATGAAAACTAGTTTCAGATAACAATAGTCAGCCAAAACTGTGCAAATAAACCTCACAAAAACTCATGGAAGACACTGAAAAATAGGTAGGAATACAGGATTCCACATTATAACTGATACTAAAAGTTGACTAGCCCTGTTTTCTTCTTAGCTCTGACTCCCACATTACTTCAGTGAAGAAACCTAGAACTCATGTAACTCTGTTGTGTAAAAAACAAAAAACAAGCAAAAGACAATAGGTACATCTTAGGAAGGATTAAATCTTACATATTTTCCCCTCAGGACTTTGTGTTGAAATGCATACACATCTATAGGATGGCTTTTCCTTTAGATTTTTTTTATTGTTTTTGTTTTCCCTCTAAAATCAATCACTCAATCTAGAATTATGAATACAGAAGTTGCTACAGATCAATAAGGTAACTAGTTCCATTTTAAAAACAGATTCTATGAGAACACAGGATAGCCTCTGTTTAAACATTTCCTATTAAGGGAGACCCTCTGTTTAAAATGGCTTTAACAATTTAGAAAAATTTTAAATATTGCAACATCAGCAATTAATTTTTACTGAATTCTTACTCTGTGCTAGACCCTTTCCTAAACACCTTATATTTTATTTATTTACTTATTTTTGGTGGGACTGGGGTTTGAATTCAGGGCTTCATACTTGTAAAACCAAGCACTCTACTACTTGAGCCACACCTCCAGGCCCATTTTGCTCTGGTTATTTTTGGATATGGGATCTCACAAACTATTTGCTTGGCTGGCCTCGAACAGAGATCCTCTCTTATCTCAGTCTCCCAAGTAGCTAGAATTACAGGCATGAGCCACTGGCATCTGGCCTTTGTTAAGCACTTTATATGCATCACCTCAATTAATCTTCATAATGGAACTTTGAGGATGGCATCACTGTGGCCACTCTATCTCTGATAAAACCAAATATCACAGGAAATAAACAACTTGCCTGAGGACACACAGCTGTTAGTTGACAGAGTTGTAACAAAACCCCTGGATTTCTGGACTTTCAAATGCAAGTCTCACAACTCTTATGGATACTAACTGATTCAGATCACCTTTCTCAGTCTCTGTCATCTCTCTCCTCTAGGTCAGCCCTTCACATATTTAAAACTGGCCATTAATACTGCTTGTGGCTATGGATGATTTTGTTCTTTGCTTCATGTGTTTGTTTCCTGTAATGCACATGTTAACTTAATAAAGGTTATTTTAAAAACCTGAAAAAATAAAATAAAATAAAACTGTCCATTAAGCATTTGACCCTATGGTGGGCTCCCCCAATCTTCCTCAGCAGAATGGAGAGGAATCTATGAAGGGACCTACAAGTAAAACGAAGGGAAAATCTGAGTAAGCCTCCAGCTCCACTTGCTTTTAGTTCACTTACATCACCCTTTTTAAAGACAACACAGTGAAACAGTTCACTCCTACCAGTTTTGCTAGTGGTAACCCCTCTGATGTATAATTTCTATCATAAAATTTGCATAACTAGTTTCAGGAATTTGCCTGGTACTCAACCAGCTGAAACACTAACCCTTCACTTGGGCCTATGCAATTGTCTAATGGGTGACTTTCTGAGGTCAGAGCACTTTCTGAGGGTCAAAACTCTGCCCTCAGATAAGCTAACACCACCACTTTCTGAACATGAAGAGCTATGAAGTCTGACAATACATGAGCAGAACACTGATCACAACACTTATCCCTCCAAACACCTATCCCCACACTTCAAATCTTCCAGCTTCTTTACACCATAAAATCCCTAAGCCCCATCCTCAGGGAGGTGGTTTTGAGATTGGAGCTCCTCCCTCCTTACATTTTAGCACCTTAAGAATAAGCTCTTTTGCAAAACTAATAGTTTAGGTAATTGACTGGCATGCTGTGAAGCAGGCAAAGTAGGACTTGCTGGGTAACAACAGTCACCCAGAAGAGGCCAGACATCCAGTCTCAACAACCCAGCTAATAGCTCCTATACTTCATGCCACCCTGTCTCTTTGGTTTCACCTCAGCCTCACTTCCCAATCCTTGACTGTGTACCACACCTGGCCCACAGTCTATCCACATGCACTGGTCAACAGGAAGGACCTCTCTTATCCATCTGGTGGCAGAAGGCTCTGTGCCCAATCCCAGTCAGAGCTACCCTCCATACCCACATAGCAAATGGCCTTCTTCAGGAAGAGGGCAGAGGAGTCCCCAGGACAGTATACATCCATTCTTCTCCACTAGGTGTTTACCACTTATGCACTGAGCTCAACTGCCAAATCCCTCCAATTTTCCTAGAGATTTTATACCTCCAAACGAATGTTTTAATTAAATTCAGATAGTGATGTTTTAAGAAATTCATAGCTCATGCCTATAATCCTAGCTACTTCAGAAGCTGAGATCAGGAGGATCGTGGCTCAAGACCCTATCTCAACCAACAGCTGAGCAAGGTAGCATTTGAGTGACTGTCATCCCAGGTATTAGGGAGGCTAAGATCTGGACGATGGTTATTTTAGGCCAGTCCTCAAAAAAAAAAGGTTCAGGAGACCCAATCTCAACAGAAAAGGCTGAGTGTTGTGGTACATGCCTGTCATCCCAGCTATGGCAGGAAACCTAAGAGGATTATGGCTTGTGCAAAAAATGAGACCATTATCTCCAATTTCACCAGGGCAAAAAAGGCTGAAGCTGTGGTTCAAGAGGAAGAGTGCCCTAGCTATACAAGGATGAAGCCTTGAGTTCAAACCCCAGTACCACCAAAAAAAAAGAAAAAAAGAAAAAGAAAAACTCACAGCACAGTTTAGATGCTATCATTTTAGTTTTTATTGACCAGTAGTCCTGCAGAAAAGAGCTGGAAAGAGCTTTCTCAAATACCTGTATAGATAAGGGTAGAACTTAGCCTGTACTTTGTCTTTCCACTTACCTGTAGTTGATGGCATGGCCCATGCTGAGAACGGTGAACAACTAAGCCAAGGTGTCTTCACATTGTATTTTAGTGTATTTATGAACTGTATTTCATAGGATTATGACATTAGTTTTGTCCTCAAATAGTTTAGAAGACAAACTGCACTCAGTGACATGCATCAAACAGCTTTGGGGTAATTACAAAGCAACATATGAACAAATATAAAACCACAATGTACAAATCCAGTAGCCCAGAAGGAAGAGCTTCAAAGACATGAAGCCTTTTCTAAATGAGATGTGACAGGTATGTTCTTCTAGAGCTGAGTGTCAGACACAAGTCTAGTGGACAATGAAGAGAAACCAGTAGACCATCCCTGGAAGAGTACAGATATGCTGTAAATGACTATGCAAATGAGGATGTAAGGGAAGTGAGCTTCCCTTTAGAAAACCTGAAAATAAAATGTGGAGTTCTTTTTTACCTGAATTGACCAGTTGCTGTTCCATCACCCCACAGCCAAGAACTTCTAGCCATTCTCCATGAAAGTTGATCTCCATCTCGAAGGAAGGATGAGTAAAAGGAAAGTAGCAGTCCACCCATCTTATCTCCAACCCTGCAGAAATGCCAAAGAAAAACAAATAGGTTACAAGGCAGCATACCCTTTCTTGAGATCAAATTTGCCCTTCAGTTAATGATAGCAATTACTACATTCTAAGTGAAATAAATAGCAAACAAACTAATTTAGAACATACTAGAGTGAGGTAATAAATCTTAAAACTTGTGAAAAACTGGGCATGTCTTTTCCAATATGAAAAACACTTGGTGTAGTTCTAAGACCCTCTAAAACCAAATTAATCACCTGTTAATTCCCTGAAACCACATGGCAGAGGGAAATATTAGGCTGAGATCATGAGAGAGCAGGTGATTCTGTTAGTTTCTATGTGACGATGACATTGTTTCACAGCTAAAGAAACTATATTTTTACTATACTATCCCTCAAACTTGTGTATTATTCACAAAAGAAAAATTCTGATATGCTCCTAGTATAACTACAAAGGCCCAAGGACTGAGTGATCAGGAGACAAGGGAAGTTAATCATTTAATAGCCATAGGCAAATCACAAAAGACTATTTTCTTAAAACGCATCAGGGTGACTACCAGGATTTTGTGGTCTTGCTGTACCCTGTTACATAAAAACTTTCTGGAATGTTAACAGCAGTTAATACGGAAGAAGCAACAGTCATTTCTACTTATGGACCAGAATGCCTCCCATTCTAAAGCTTCCCCTGATAGGCATGGCCCTTCCCCTCTAATGTTATAGATTAGAAACAATTTATGCCTGCCGTTACCAAATTTTCCTTATTAAAACATGTTCTTGGGCTCTTCAGCTACAGGTACTGCTCTTGAGAGCCCTTGCACAGAGCACGCTCCCCTCCGTTTCTTGAGGAGTGGACTTTCCTCCTTCCACTCACTCTCTTACTCTCAATAAAACTCTTCTAGTATTTTGCAAAAAATAAATAGATAAAAATACTCTTCCTTCTGGTCTGATGGATCTATTTCCAGTTGCTACCTGGCCTTGCGGCTGGTGGTTTTAGGAACTTGTCCCAGAATCTGGTCCTTTTTCTGTGATGACTATAGCAACTCTTAATTTCAGAGATCCCTCAGTTTCAACAGTTTTAATACAAAAATAGACTACTTTAGGAAAACATGACCAACTTTCAGTATCAGAGATGCATGTTTTATTTTTAAATTTATTAAAGCTAACAGGAAGTTAATAAAACATCTGCCAAATTTAAGCAGAGAAAAAAGATGATGGTAACCTAGCAGCTTGGTGCCCACTGACTGTCAGGAACTCAGAAAAAGGCTAAGAGTTGAAAAATCACTTTGCTCCTTTCCCTTCTGGGATGATTCTTCTCTTCTTTCAGGCAACACTATGCACAGTCTTACTAAAGGACCCCATTTCCCATATCAACATGCTGCAAATCTTAAATACTGAAAAATATGTAAAGCAGAAAGGCCTGGGAGTGTGGCTCAAGTGGTAGAGTGCTTGCCTAGCAAATGCAAGGCCCTGAGTTCAAATCCGAGGACCACTAAAAAAATACATATATACATACATAAATAAAAGTAAAAATTAAAAAAAGTATTGGGGATGTAGCTCAGTGGTAGAACACTTATCTAGCATGTGCAACGATCTAAGTTCAATCCCCTGTATAACTACAAAAAAGATACTGAATGTACCCATAGTTCCAAAAGTTTCCTCATGCTCCTTCTAGTCTTCCCCACTCGACCACAGTCGCTACCTCTTCTCCTGCCCATCCCACACATACAAACACATTTTAGACAGCCTTCTGATCTCCTGTCACTACAGGCTAGTTTGCATTCCCTAGAATTTTACAGAAGTAGAAACATACAGAGGTTACTCTCCTTTCATCTGGCTTCATTCATGCAGCCTAATTATTTTAAAATTCATCGATACTGCTGTACATAGCAATAGTTCATTCCTTTTTATTGCTGAGTAGATCTCATCTTTTTCTAACAAGGAATAAAAGCTCACCCTGCCATAGCAGACCATTGGGAAAATGTCCACAAGTTGCCTGAGTAGCCCATGTTTGTCTGTGTTGATATTCAGATGTGAAGATCAGTCACTTATTTGTGAGTGTATTCTGAGAGGAAGGTATTTGTACACCTGTGTGCTGGCCCTTCCTTGGGACAAAAAAAACCCTAGCAATATTCCTATTAAAAAAAGCACCAGAGAGAATGTTGCTAGCAAAAACAAATGTGTGAAGCCTTGGGACAAAAAACAAGGACACAAGAACAGGCAGACAAAACCATTTTTATCATTCCTTTTTGTAACTCCTGGCAGGTAACCACAAGTCATTTTACAAAAATAATTTAGAAAAACAAATTTTGTTATGTGACTTTTTTATACTTGACTTGAATTTTACCACAAACAGTGACAGCATTCAGGGTTAATGTCCTGATTTCTTCATCATATAGTTAAATATTATCTAAGTGCTTGGAAATACTAGGTGAATTCTGCACAATTTTCTTGAATGACCTTTTAAAAATGCTTTTGGGCAGGCTAATCAAAGAGTTTAGTTGATATTGACTTATATCTCATATCTGCAATGTCTTCAGACTTCTGCTAGTCAGAGAGAGAATTTTCAAAGACACTGGTAAGCACTCAAAATAATCACATGTTGATGAGCAGCATTCCATGATCAGTGTTTGTAAACCTAAGGTAAACACCTCCTGCACACAATCTCATGGGAAGCTGGGCTTCCACAGAGATGGTTCGGCTTACTGGTACCCATCTGTGGGGCTGACAGCATCTCTGCAAAGGATGAACTACAGAGTGAAGAGAAACCTTCTTTTACTGAAGGGCTACTGCTTTACTACTTTTGTCATTAGAAAAACGGTGTGACTTGGCTTTAAATGTCTGTAATATTGAGCAAATTCTTAAAAAACATGTCCATACCTTGCATCGCCACCTCTTGCTCTTTGGAGTTTAACATCTTGGCCACTATGGCCAAGTTTCTTCTTTCTCAATCACCGTATGGGTGTCTGTTTTGATAACAATGACAAGTATTTGTTCCATACTGAAAACCACCCACAGCAAACCATGGAAAGTCAGAGAAGCTAGCCAAAGTTTCTCAGAATTCATGAGCAACTATTAGTGATTTCTAGAACAGAATCCACAGGCAGTAATACAAAAACTTTAGAAAAAGCAGGTTGGCAAAAGTTGTGTCTCATGAGACTGTGCAATTTTAGTCCCTCCCACCAACTCAGATCCTTTGCTAAGTTTCTCTTTTAAAATTAGTACCACCCAGCAAAGAATGCCAGATCCACACACCCTCCATTTCCTTTGTTCCACTACCTTATGGAGCTTGTCCTTTGCCATCTTTACATAAACAGACAAAAGCTGCAATCTGACAAATGCCACACATGAGCAGTCTTTCGTTTTACTTCAAATACAAACTGCAATTATTTAAAGCAAATAATATTAATTAATGTATAAATTTTATATATTCTCTTTTATATCCTAACAATTTAAAGTCACCTTGACACATGAACAGTGATCTTTAAAAAATCACTAATACTGGAATCATTTATTGAACACTTAGTTCCAAAATACACTTTCTTCTTGGTATTTGCTTCATGACCTCAATATCACTGTATTATACCTAGTTGAAAAAGCATCTTGACATGCTTTTTCTATTAAAAGATGCAATACTAAATAATTAGGTCAAAATTATGGCTTCGTTCAGATGTCATATATCAGGAATCAGTAAAAATACTAATAAAAACTATGTACTCTGAACTGAACATTAATAGTGGAGAATTTTTAGTTGGCAAATCCAAATCATATGGCTCCATAGTATATTAGACTAAGTTCTTATTAGTTATAGATCAAAATAAAATCCATATGTGTTATATATCTAATGGAAAATAAGGCCCAGGATTTTTCTTTTTCCTTCTTTTTTGGAGGGAAAGGGCAAGGATAAAATTTATTAAACCACATTTATAAATGCAGTTCAGAACTTTTATAAATGGCTTCAGAACTCTGTGAGATTACAGCAACTGCCAAAAAATACATACTTAAATTTTTACCCCAGAAGAAAGTACATCTTAGAATGCAAATCTTAGTTCCAGCCTCAGAATTCTACCGTATGTCCTGTGAAACTGTATGCTAAGTTAATTCACCTATCTGCACCTCAGCTGCCTCATCTCCACACAGTGTAAAAGGATAGCTACTTCATACACTGGTTTTTAGACAAGACCCTACAAGAGCCCAGCTTTCCCAGGAGATAGAGGAGTCTCTTGGGAGAACTGCATGCTGACTACTTGCTCTTCTGAATGAGAACACTGAGCTTGTACAAGGCTGAAGACAGCCCAAAACCTCGAAGCAATCCCTCAAGTGGGACCTCTGAAATGGTAAGCAGAAACTCCTTCAGGATGGTGATATAAGCCCATTGGAGGAGTGATAAAGAACTCTAATTCTTTCTCAATTCTGGCAGAACACTACCTACCCCTATCTGCCACAAGACACCAGGAACACGGGAAAGGTTTTACAGCATCCTGACTACTCTGTGTACCAGCCTTCCAATATCCATGGCAAAACCATCTGAGGATACAACACAGAGTATGTGGGCATGTGGTCACTTCCCACCAATCTTCACTTCCTGAGCAGTCCATCTGAATATCAAATAGTTATCATTCCATTCTACCTCCCATTCACTTTACTAGATGTCATAGTTAATGAACACAATATGACATTTCATTTCCCTGATTTAAGACTAATTAAAGAGACTTTGCTGCTGCTTCCTAGACCCCATATATTTAAAGATGGAACTCTGCCATCAGAACCACCTTCCACAGGCAAGAGAATACAAATTTTGCATGGTTAAATCCTTCCAGGGCTACCCTCCACTGAAGCAAATAACTTTAAAACTGACCACACACATATGCTATTAACCATTGCTGTTAGGCATTAACATTTCAATAGGTTTTCCTTCAAGTGGTAACAAAGAAAGAGTAGAATACAGCAATCTGAAACCAGGTTGGATCCTCATGCTTTCTGAACAGCAGACGGTATGTAGTCAAGGAAGGAAA